CGCAGTGGAAAACCGGGTTTCCAAAACGGCATGGGCCACTCTAACCGTGATATTCGGAATTAGCATTGTCGATTACATATAGTCATGTATGTTTCGAGGAAAAAACGCTCCTTCACTTGGGGAGGTTTCCTCGTTAGATGTATATGGGGAGAGGGTGCACAGATGGGGCCGTACAAACAGAATTTTTCTCGTAGTCTCAATTTCAAGCTTGTAGAGGATTTTCACAGAATCCTCACTTTTTGTCACACGAGTCTAAATTGCAAAAAGTGACAAAGTGTAATTTGAAGGGCAATGTACTCTAGGCGATATAAAAGTCTCGAAACATCTAAATTTTTCTGCAATTTGCATGCAATATTGGTACTTTACCAACTAATATCTCAGAAATAATATCAAAGTTTTTAGGATATAGCAAATTTTTCGTATTCTCTGTTAGAAAAATCTCTATGCAAATTTGAGATATCCGAAATTCAGTATATCTGCTTCTAACTTACTTTCTTTCATACCACCGAGATCTAAAGCCAACATTGATTCGAGAGAGAAACCCATATGGTCCATTCGATATTGACATAAAGGACCATAAATACATCGAGGACAATGACAAACGAAATCATTTTTGTTCGTTTTCTTATTTCCAGCAAAACAACGTCCACCATGCATACATTGCCGATATTGATCGTAGGTAAAATCATACTGAAAGCAAGTTGCTCGTCTTACTGTGTCGGTATCAGCACAAAAACATATATAACTTTGCTCATCGTAGAAACATATATTCGTTGTTGATTTTTGACATGGTTTGTGATATTGTTTCAATTTAATTAAGAGAGACTCAACGGAACTATCAAGAGGCATGAGATTAAATTCACGAGCATGTGAACATCGAATACCTTTTCCATTGAGATGAAGAGCTGAATGATTTAAGCCGGTGTACAACAAGTAGAATGAGGTCTGATCGAGTGCATCCGAGTGAGTTTTAAGTAAGCCTATAGATGGTAAGAGAAAACTATTGTATTGAATGAACTTTGTCGAACCAATCATGATCTCTTGTCTTTGAATTTGTAATTCCATTTTCTCTGTATCGTAGGAAAGAAGTTGAATGACTGATGGATGTGTAAATGTACTATTTTCAAGAGTAACATTGAGTGAAGCTTTCTTATACTGGCATTGTTCGCCAAAGTAATTATCATTACATGTACATTGAAAAAAATTGCTTAATATTTCATTTGTTGAAGCACTGCAAACACCACCATTCAGACAATAGTTCAAAGGACATGGTACAGTATGCAGATGGCAAGTGGAACCGAATGAACGAGCTTCACAAATACAGATAAAACCACCATGTTTATTGTTGTCGCGTATACATGTCGAATTAGGTGAACATGAACAAGAGGAAGATAGAATATCACAATTCTTGCCCATCCAACCATTCAAACATTCACAATAATATGCAGTATGATTGTTGGCGATCACATAACATTTTCCATGCTGACATTGGGCTAACTGTTCACGAGAACATTGTTGTCGATTCTCATTATCATGGTCAAATTGAAAAACAACTGCCAAACGATATGCTGGTAAAAATGAAAGTTTGATGGCATATTGCCAAATCGACATCAGTTTGGGTTTGGCAGTTCCATTAAAAAAAGAAAAGAGAAAAAAAATTCGACACTGTAATCAGATGAAGGGCGAAATAAATTGTCATACATTGAAAATGGATAATTCAAATAGAGGCGACGTTTGCCATATTGATTGGATGAATATGTTACAACTTTGTGATCGATCGTTGTATTTTGAGTATAACGAAGAAGAATAGCCAAACGAATAAGATATTTGTGATCATCATGTTCTGTTTCTATTTTGAATACAACTGTTATTCGATGATTATGTTGTTCACACCGTGCACCATAGAAACTTGGGGGACACAAACATGCCAATTGGTTGTAGCGAATAACAGGTAAGCCTCGATCACAATACCAGGCCGACACGGTTGGTGATTGAAAAGGCATTCTTCTACTGGCAATAGTAGCAGCAACAGCAGGCAATCTGGGTGGCTGGAACGGAGTAACAGTAACATGTGATTGATAGCGTGCTTTGACACACATATATTCATCAAGATGTGATTGTCTACATTGGAAACGATTATTACATCGATGTTCGTTGGGTATACATGGACTTGAATCATTTATTTCCAAACAGGCAAATGTATGTTTTGTACATATATTTTTCGAAAATAATGATCGATTACCGCACCAGAAATCAGATTCATCTTCTTTTGTTGGACAATCATAATGATGATCACATAAATGCATTGGCAAAAGACATGTTACGTTATCACTGCAAAGAAAACGATTGCTTAAAGGAAAACCATCTAAACATGCATATGTATTTCGTTCATCGATGCCGCCTAAACATTCAACAAGACCATTGCCAGCGACAGAGTTTGCCTCTAATATAGATACTCTCATTTCGGGCTTTGTCAATGTCAGACAGTCTGGTGCAGAAAGTGTGAGAGGATAAGTACAGTTATATTCATCACTACCATCTGAGAAATCCCATATTTCATTGCAAAACCAACGAGAATCGATACAATAACCTGTACTACTACCATTTATTGATGATTTTTGTTTTTCCCATCCTTGTTCACATATCCATTCATCACAATTCGTTTCATCAATACCATTACGCAAATCCCAAAGAGAATCACATAGACTGGTAAATGGAAGAATGTATCGTTTATCGTTAATCGATGATGAAAGATCACGCAAAAGAGCACATGCACCATCGTCCGCTTTGAAACACTGTAGAAGTTGCCAATTCACAGACATACTCATTTCATCAGTACCATCCGGACATGCGCTCAGATGATCACCTAGCATAAGTTACGAAAGAATGAAGATCTTGTCTGTGCTTGTACTCGAGTGAGGGTTTTTGAATTCTCGAGATTTCTGTTGTAGAATTCTACTACAGCATTCTGAAACTATGGATTTGTCACCGCTGCTTCGGGGAGGTAGCATTGTAAAAGAACTACTCTATCTCTCATTTAATCTAATTTTTCGTGCTGACTCCAAAACTTCGAAGAATCCAACTTTCTACTCAGAAACTTGTTGGATGTTACAGAAAGGAAAAGTATGAATCTTTCAAACTAGACTAACTACTTACCAAGAAAATATCGCATGACAGTACTTGTTACCAAACTTACATTTCCACATAAATATCGATCTTTTGCATGCTTCGGCATCAATACATGAACAATGGCTGTATAATTCTGCTCATCTGTCCCATAGAGAGAATCAGAAAATCCATCGAAAAGTCGATATTTTGAAATACATTCACCCGTTTTTGGATATCGGAAGAAATGCTTAGGATACTTGTTGCACATGCTAGCCAACGGTTTCATACCAGCATTTAAACAGAAAAGATATTCGAATGGAGGATATGGATAATTTTTCTCGTAAACATCATCGTACGAAAGACATACAGAACCATTATGTGTGACTTCAATATCATTTTCACAACGTTTCGTTCCTACAAAACAAAATAATGCCGGTTGTTTTAATTTCATAAGTATCCAAAAAGTAATTTGATAACTGATATTATATTGTTCTAACGTGTAATAGGCTTGAACGAATGGTGAAAAGAACTGAATACCAAATGCATATGTTATTTTTTGATTTTGACATTCCTTTTGAACACGCACAAGAGCATCTTCATGAGTAGAATAAAGTAATTGAAGATATTCACATGATGGATGAAGTGTGACACTACACAAAACAGCACGCATACATTTTGAATTATCATCTTCTATTACATCAGTTATATTCATTGTACATCGACCATTATTTCCAGTGATAACAAACAGATTTTTCCGGTCGGAATTTGGGACAGGTTCTGAAATTGGACAATTGTATGTGAAAGAAAAACCATTGTGACAGCCACCATCTGGATGATACCAAAATCGTGTATTCCATAGTAAACATTGTCCATCACCACATGATAATTCTTCTCTTCCGCACCAATGATCGTCACAATCAATACTTGCTCGTTCATAACATGTAACGTAATCTTTGTATTTATCCTTGGCTAACGGACGTTGTTCATCAGTTAAATCCAAACAATCAGCTTCAGCATCAAATAAATATTGACGATCAATACACATATCATTTCGACATCGAAATTCATCCGATTCACATTCATTCATTTCAACAAGATGACAATATGTTTCATCCTGACCATTTAGTAAATCCGATTCACCATCACAAACATCTCGGTAATCCAAACATAAATTGTTGGTGTTAGTGTCTGTCTCGATCAATGTATAACAAGATAGAAGTCGATCTGCCGGATAGGTTGAATTCTTTGCATCAGCAATAGATTGAATAGTTTCTTCAACTATTGTCTCGCTCGTATCACTCCATTCATATTCACAGAAACGGCCGAATGTTGTCGTTGTTGAACAATTGCAAATAAACCTTTGAGATACATCTATCAAATCTTTGCCTTCAGAATAGGCTCCGTATGCATCAGCTATATCAAGTGGTATTGACCACCGGTGAAGATCGGATGTAGATACATTACGGTCGAGTAATTCTTCAAAAGGTATTCGATTTCCCTTATAACATTCATTCTCACCGACAGCCACATTCTTAATACGTAAACAATAATGGATAAGATCGTTGCGATTATTTTCTGATAAGGAGGACGAAAATAGACAATCCCTGTATGAACGGTCAGCAGTGTAGATGGTATTTTCAAGAAACAGAGAGAAGGATGAAGAAGAGAAGAGAAGCACAAGAGCAAAATCGCAGATGGTCCTCATGATCAATTGATGATTTTACTAAACAATACTGCAGTTGACACAACCACGTAGTTTATAGCTCTCTCTTCTTCTTATTTTTACAAAACGTGCTCGGAAAAAAGTTATGTATCGAACGTGCTTAACACTATCGCCTACTACAATACTAGAGACAGAACGTGTTTGATCTTGACGTACATGTATTTATTTTTCTAAGGCAAATGTTGCGTCTACAGGTTACAGAAATGAGTTATAATATTAGTCACGTTTAGTCGTGACTTCTGCAATTGCGATAATTCTCTTTGCAAATTATCCAGAAAAATGTATTCGTCCTTTTTATTGTAGAAATATTCGAGATAAGACCTTTCTATGCATTATAAGGATTATGGAAGCAAAAATGAAGTAAGCGGACTATGCTAAGTAAAAGGTCGCTCCTGATAGATTGACAAAAACTGAATGGTGAAAAGTAGGGTATCGCAGATCCCCTGTGATAGAAAACAGTCGAATATATGGAGTGGTGCATAGAATGACCGTAACTACGAAACGTCTTTTGAAATATTTTCGCCTAAATTATTCCACCAATTTCTTCATAAAATCACTTCCTTTCAACACAAGAATAAAGACCACTGGCACACTCTTCCATCTTTTCTATCATAGCTATGCCTTGTTTAGAGACACCTCAAATGTTGCAATGCAATATCAAGCTGTTTCAACCTTAATTTCAAGATTATATACAGATAAAAATACCGTTGAGCAGTTTCAGTTCATAATTAAAAACTCTGTGCACACCTAAAGGTAATTATGCATGCTTAGAATTTCTTTTCGGAGCCGATCTTGAACAGGTGTCTGAGAACGAATGTACAAACAGAATAACTTATATTGGCTAACCAAGTCTTTTTGCGTCTAAGCACGTCCTTGTAGTGGGAGTAACAAATGCGCAATATGTTTTAAGTTTTATGGCGCTTATATGTGTAAATGTAAAAAATCAATTATTTTTTCATGGGAAAGGAGAAAGGATGCGTCGAGAAACATGGTGATCACTTCATGTAGGCATGGCACAGCAAGAATTTCTTAGAAAATCTATTAAGTCTAGTAGAGCACTAGTGAAGAAGATGAAGGAATCCAATGCACTTCACTGTAGTTGATGCAACAGAATATGACAGTAATCATACTCATGTAGAATAAGCAGTTCGAACTTACTTAATAGAGAGCATTATGTTAAAAAAAACTAATATGTTATTATAAAACAATAAATGGTATCCATCAAAATAGTTTGTCTAATAGAAATGATATTTATTTAAAATTAAAATTAAATGTAGAATTAAAATGATATTTATCTACACTTAAAATTGGATCTAGTAAAAAGTTTAGAAAATATTTCTTTCGCTTGAAACTTTCCGGCTAAGGGGAGGAGAACTTTAAAAGAAACCACACTTACTTTAAAATTTGTCAGCAATACTTTTTTCATCAACATTGAAATTATGGAGCCAAGCCAAAGCATCATCTATCAACAACAATAGGATCTCTCTCACTAGTTCACAAGGAAAAAGCATAGATACGCGTAGACCTTCTACACAAGTCGTGTGCTCATACAATGAAGTAGGGTAAAAGTAACTGATAGACACTTATTTCTGTAGCTATTTCTGTACACAAGAGTAAAAAAATAAAAATAAAAGGCAATCGTACATTTGTTTGTTTTTCTATTCTGACCCAACTCTGGACAAAATCCTGCGTACTTTCTGTCTATTTCCTACTAGGGTCTTACAGGATCCTGACATTTAGGATCTACCTTGTTTAGGAATCTAATAGAATCTTAACAATTCCAACGACTCTCCGATATACCTGATTTCTTTAGGATTCTACAGGATTTTCCTAGGATCCTGCCAAACGCCAGCTAAATCCTAATAGAATCCTGTTAGAAAATACATAGATTTTTTGCTAGGGAAGTATGGTGTATTAATTCATACAAGTCGTTTTATCCATAGATGGAAAAGAGTACTAATGAAGAACAATGATGAGCTTAGCGTGTTCAGTTACGTGGATGTAGACTTTGCTCTTCGTTGTGGCAAGCATAATAATAAATGTTTTAATGTTGGTTTGGTTAATAAACATTGAATGAATTTCGGATAGAAATGGCCCGTTCTCAGAGTACGATTTTCCACTTCATCACCGTTATAATACTCGAAGGCCCGGTAATTGAAGAACCTAAACTCAGTGATGAAGCAGCGGATGGTAATATATTCAACTTACTTTGATATTCTCGTGATAATTGACATGACCGTGCTTCTAATTTGACTATATTAAAAAAACCGTTTTAGTGAACAATACATGTTTTGGCGGTTACTGCGTTAATCACGAACGTTTAAGGACATTCTTTAATCAGTTGTATGAGTATGTTAGATAAATTCTTCTCTAAAATGAATTTAGACAGTTATTTTTCAATTTCTCTAGGAATAGCGTGAATCGAGAACTCTTCTGCTAAGAAGTTGGTCTTTCCTATACGATAAAGCGTATTGTGTAGAAAATACTGTTCTTGCTCATGGTTTCATGGAAAAAATAACTAATTAAAAATCAACTTTTCACGTATGTGTTCTTTAATAAGAGATGAGAAGAGAAATATAAATAACTTAATCTGCTTATTGGAGTGAATGTTTATCCGATAGACATGTTTCTAGTGAGGTACGGAACAGAGCTAACAGAGAGAATGAGAAATATATTTTAGATGCAGCAGCGTAGAAAACTAATCCCAAAATATCAAATTTGTTAGGAACTTTTCAGTGAGTAATTTTTCGGGAGATGTAGTACTAAACAAGGTATCGACTGCTTATTGGGTCTATCACTATTTCCACTTACAGTAAAAATCATTAAAAACTTTAGCAAACTTTGAAAACTTTTACTTCATCTCAATTCAGAAAGAAAAAGTTTCGGAAACTTTTTGGATTTAAAGTTTGGAGAAAACTGTCTATTATGAGGGTAATACATCAGTCGACTCAGTCTTTTATCCTGATTCTGAGTATGATATTTTTATGGCTCAAAAGTTGAGTTCTGATCGAGGAGATTGGGAATTACTGACATAATTCCGACTTATATGCGATGGTTTTTAAAAAAAGTAAAACTTCTCCAAAACAAAGAGGTTTAGAAAAAAAAGGCGAGCATACTTTTGTAGCTCGTCGAATGGCGGTTTGAATGGTGTATAACAATACACATTTAGTTTCAAAACCAGGGAGGAGATAGCTTTGTCAGATCGAAGTCTCCTTGTGAGTCTGATGTCCACGGACGGCCGTGAAGTTGACTTGAAAATTCTTCAAAGTGCCTCGAATAGATTCAAATTTAGATGCTGAATTCAAATAAAATAAGCAGAAAAATATTTGAAGTAAGCAAAGTGGTGAAATCATTCGATTTGCCGAAAAGAGTCGGTTTTTTCGTTTTTCAAAGTTTTTTGCCCTACATTTGACTTTGAGAAATTTTAAAGGTCATATTCGTGATCAGCTCGACGAGCTCTATCCAACCATGTATAATTGAACTACATTCGTTTTTGTCACGGACCTTTTGAATTTCCGGCACCTTAGAACAGAAGCGAAAACTTGTTCCTGAATAGAACAGTTCCATGCAAATATGTTTGAAACTCGAAGACTCTTAGTATTCGAGATTTGTGCAGCACCGAAGTTTTTTTAAAATGAAATCATGCGGGTTTAAAATGATATTCATCTGTATTTCATGAAGTAACGGAAAACTTCTAAGGTTTCGGTACGGTGGTCGCACAATTTTGACAGCCACTGTATCAGGTGAATTTTTTATTATGATATATTACGAGCACATGTGAGTAAAATTGGGTAAAGTAAGAGAGGAAAGCTTTTGATGCGAAGAAGCAATGATTTTTTCTTAAAATTTTGTTACTGTTGTTGCTGAATAAACTTGCTTTACCGGTGTTCTTTCACGGCTACTTGGATCCCTCATTGAACGGATCAGTTTGTGGACGATGCACACAGCTCTTATTACCACCGATACTTTTCTTGGATATGAGAAAAAATAATCGGGCAGATATATTTCTACTATATAACGATCACCGTAATTTTGATCAGTGATTGCATGAGCAGTTCCACCGATTTGGAAAGAACTGCTGCAAATTTGCTCCCACAAATATCTCAGTGTTGCCAATGGTATATCGAACGAATTGAATTTGATCAGGTTGTGGACTATCGAAGAAGTTCGTTAGCACTAAATTAGCGACAGAACATATAAAAAAAAGTTACTACTGATAACATCGAGTCGATTGTACAACTTCAATCGTTGTATAACGGAATATTTTTCCGCTTGTATTCTGACAGAATAAAGCTTATATCAAGTCTTTCGATGTCCTATTGTAATTAGATCCTACAGTATCTAATCTGTTATCTATTGTTCGAGATAAGTTGATTAGCGAGAAACGTTTGGTTATTTGTTCGAAAACATTGAATGTTTTTTTTGCAATAGCTGTGAAATGCTTTAACCTGAAGGCAGAAGAATAAGAAAAACTTTACAAAATAATATATTTCTATGATTGTTTAATCATATGCTAAAAACCCCATCGGTTGCAGTCTTCATTCGGCTTGATTCGCGGGCCTAAGGTGTTTTTCTAGAAGCATTGAGACTCCCCTATTCTTCGGTCTGGGGCTTTCTGAAATGCATGAAAACATAGACTATCGACCACGCTGCATCTCATGGCAGTGTTAGTTTTCAAAACAAAATGCAAGAACCGAGTGAAATTTGTACTAGGTGAAATAATCCATTTTTGGTTATTTTCATCAAAACTTAAAAAGTCATAACTCGATCACCCTCAAACCCATCCAAGCTACTTCACAATAACAAGATATATTCTTTTTTACCCGCTCCACCTGATTCTGTACGCAAGATCAATAGCAAATGTTATCGTAGTTTTGAAGGTTTCTTGGAAACCTTTCCAGAACCAATGTATTTTCTGTTGGTTTTCAAAATATTTGATCTTTACAGTATACTGCAGATAAAAGAGAGTATATCTTGTTATTGTGAAGTAGCTTGGATGGGTTTGAGGGTGATCGAGTTATGACTTTTTAAGTTTTGATGAAAATAACCAAAAATGGATTATTTCACGGCTAGTATTTATTTGAGCAATAATTATATCGATATGAGCAATAATTATAGTACTATTTAGCAGTAATTCTTGAGCAATAAAAAAATTTGATTCGAGCAGTTTTATATTATTAAATGGACAATAATTTATTGAGTAAATGTC